CCAATCAAAAATTCTCTTCTCTTTGTGTTATTCTCCCTCCACACCCCACATCCCACACCCCTGTCTCTACTTAAATTCTGTAGCTCAGCTTTAAGGAAAGGGATTGAGGTTCATACAATTGTCTTCATTTCTCCAGATCTCTAGAGGAAAGTTGCTGAAAGTGGGGCCGGGAAGTCCATTCAGGGCTCTGAGAGGGGGTGGGTTGGGGGGGGCTTTCGACTACGGAAGCAGTAGAGAAACTAGGGAGGGACAGAACCCCACACCAGAGGAGAAGCAGCCAAATTGTGAGCTCAGTCCAGAACACCACGTCCCATTGAGTTCAGCCTCTCTGTAGACTGCAGAGACCAGGGGAGAGGGCAATCATGGGCGACTAGACAAATTGTTTTATCAGTATTATTATGATTACACTGGAGAAGTTTCATTTCATATTTTTTAAAAAAGTAAGTATTCTCCACTATCCTCCTGTCATTCTCTCACTCCTTTCTCACGCGTCTCCCCTCCCCCAATCCCCCTCACCCCCTAACGCCAATCACTTTTTCTTTTATTCCCACGATTTTGTTTCGGGCAATGCCCAGTCCTTAAAAAAATGGACCTATTCAAATGCCACCCCTTTTCCCTTCCTTCCTTTTTTTTCTTCCTTCTATTATCTCCTCTCTTCCCCCCCCCTCTTTCTCATCCACACTATCCCTCCACTTATTTTCTCTCCTCCCCCTCCAACCACTGGCGTGTTTTTATTCCCTTCTCTCCAGTACTCTCCGTATCTCTTTCCCTACCATACGGCGTTAGAACTAGGGTGATCTTGACATGAAAACTGACCGGAAAGTGCCTTTGGTCCCTAAGAGTCTTACATATCCTGCCGTTGTAGAAAGCAATCACATTAAAAAAGGAGAGATACGTGTACACACACACACACACACACACACTCACACACACACACGGTGATAGAGAGTTAGCAGGGTCCTGGGCAGAGCTCTGAAGAGGGACACAGGCAAAAGAAACCCAGGACCGTTAGTTGGGGGAGGGGGGGAGAGAGAGGGGGAGAGAGAGAGAGAGAGAGAGAGAGAG